AGCACCAGTTCTAGCTTTACCAAATTTTACCAAGACCTATGTAGTTGAGACAGATGCTTCTAAATTGGGCATTGGAGCAGTGTTAATACAAGAAGGCCATCCTATAGCCTTCATCAGTAGATCTTTGGGCCCAAAGTTACAAAAACTGTCAGTTTATGAAAAAGAGCTCCTAGCCATGGTCTTTGCTATTCAAAAGTGGGAACAATATCTGATGGGTGCACACTTCATTGTCAAGACAGATCAGAAAAGTTTGAAATGACTACTTGAATAGAAGATTTCAACCCCTTTTCAGCAATTCTGGCTCTCAAAACTTATGGGATTTGATTATGAGATCCAGTATAAAGTTGGGAGAGAAAATATTGTGGCAGATGCACTTTCAAGGGTCTCAAGGGCTGAAATTATGCATATGGCCATCTCAGAAGTAGACTCTAACTTAAGAGACTGCATTACTAATAGTTATTCACTAGATGACAACACTATGACTATCATACATAAACTACAGCAACAGGAGGTTGTTCCAAAGTTTTCCTATCAGGATGAGCTACTAAAGAGGCATGGCAAGGTGGTGATTGGTCCTCATGACAACCTTACGGGAAAATTTTTTCAATGGCATCATGTTTCACTAGAAGCTGGACATTCTGGTAGAGAACTAACCCTCAAACGAGTGCAACAACTATTCTACTGGAAGGGTCTCACTAGGGATGTTATTTTATTTGTGAGGAAATGCAAAGTTTGTCAAGCTTCAAAGTATGATACGACTGCAAAACCTGGGAAATTACAACCTCTTCCAATTCCAGAAGCTGTATGGGTTGATGTATCTATGGACTTCATCACTGGCTTACCTAAGTCAATGGGGAACACTGTGATATTGGTAGTTGTTGATAGGCTGAGCAAATATAGTCATTTTATGGCACTATCTCATCCTTTTACTGCAGTAGAAGTAGCTCAATGCTATCTTGATAATGTGTTTAAACTACATGGATGGCCACGAAGTATAGTAAGTGACAAAGATTCCATCTTCCTCAGTCAGTTTTGGAAGGGTCTTTTTTCACTACGTGGCACTGAATTCCTGTTATCTTCAGCTTACCATTCGGAAATAGATGGTCAAACTGAGGTGGTCAACAGGTGCTTGGAGACGTACTTGAGGTTTATGACCAGTGAAATCCCTAAAGAATGGTGCAAATACTTACCTATGGCGGAGTGATGGTACAATACTCATTTTCATACCGCTATTCAAAAAACACCATATGAGATTGTTTATAATCAACCACCCCATTACATCTTCCTTATTTGCCTGGAGAGTCTTCCAATATGGTGGTCGATAGGAGCATGCAAAAACGAGAGGAAATCATCAAATTATTAAAAGTCACACTCTTACAAGCTCAATCAAGGATGAAGGTGCAGGCAGCAGATCTGAAAGGGTTTTTGTAGTAGGAGACTGGGTATGGCTCAAATTTCAGAATTACCGACAACAAACTGTCCATCACAGGAGTAATAACAAACTAGCCCCAAAATACTTTGGTCCTTTTAAGGTCCTAGCTGCTCTGGGAAAGGTTGCTTATAAATTGAAACTGCCCCAGCAAGCTAAGATACATGACGTGTTTCACGTCTCACAACTGAAGTCATGCACATGAGATTTACCACCAGAGGTTATTTTACCAAACTGGACTCTGATCAAACCATTTGCACAGTTCCTATACCTGCTTCTGTTTTGGAACAACGCACCATCCACTCTGCAGGCATGACTAAAGATCAGTACCTGGTGCAATGGATTGGCAAGCCGTTGCATGACGCTACATGGGTTGATATACCTGACTTTGATTCTGTGTTTCCCGGCTTTTCTACTCAGACTTGAGGACAAGTCTGTTAAAAACGGGGGAGCTTTGAAATGGCAGCTACATAAAGGACATGGCATTTTAGTCTTTTTAATTATATTTCCTATTATTTACAATTATACCCCAGTTTGTTAAGAAAGTTGTTATGGTGACCTAGCCATATATATCTAGACTTTTGTGTGTACTGAGTCGGTTATGAAATGAAAACAACAAATTCTATCTCTCATCTCTCTCTTTTATCTTTCGGAACATTCTCTCCCTTATCAGCTGGTTTCTGTTCAATTCCGAATTGACCGGTTTCTAGTCCCTGACCTTCTGTACCTACTACAAGATCCCCGGATTGGTACCAGAATTTCTGCGTAAGTTGTGGTTCCCGTTCTTGCCATTGCAATGCCGCTTGTCCTGTTTTATACTTACTCCCTCCGTCCCAATTTGTTTTGCAAAGTCAACATTTTTTGGTCAACCAATAATAAAAGTCAACCCTCCCTATGAATAACTAATTCAATTTTTAATAATTAAATTTACATATTCAAAAAGTACATTAAAATCATTTCAAAGTCGTAAACTCCAAATTAGAATATAATTAAAAATCGGCATCCTAATTAAGTGAACAAAACGAGACTGTTTGACTAAGAAAAGTCAAATTTGCAGCTCAATTTGGGACGGAGGTAGTATTAAGTGAATTCAAATAAATGGAATTGGAATCAGTTCGGTCTTATGTGGGAGGAACCACAATGGTACCTATGCTGGGTCGGTTGTGAATTCCACTTATCAGTCCGGTTCGATGAGTTGCCCAAGTTGCTTCCACATGTTTTCGTTCGGTTATGACTTATGAAGACAAATACTCCCTCCGTCCCCCAATTAAGTTTCTGATTTGACTTCACACATATTAAGAAAATAAATTTGACTTTATTGTGGAGTGCACTGTTTTGCAGTGTTTGACACTGTTTGGACACTATTTGGCCCTGTTTGACACTGTTTGGACACTATTTGGGAAATGCATAAACGTGTTCTTGCTTTTCGTGAATTTAATGATGGACACATTGCTGATAATATCTATCTTCTCATTGAGCGTATTTTAATTGAGTATAATTTGATTGATAAGGTGTTTGCTGTGGGTTTTGATAATGCTAGTAATAATACTGCTGCTATACCTAGATTGTGTGATTTGTGTGGTACTTCTACATTGATGGGTAGGTTTTTCATCAACGTTGTGCATGTCATATTCTCAATTTGTGTGTACAAGACGGGCTAGCCACGTTAGGACAAGCTTTGGAGATAGTGAAGGAGAAATTAAATTGATTTGGGCTAGTACTCCACTTAAAATGCAATGTGGCAATATTTGAAGGATAAACGTATCAATTATTGTGCTTTTCCTAAAGATTTGTCTATTCGTTGGAATAGTACTTATAACTTGATTAAAGTACTTGTTAGATATAAAGACCATTTTCCTGCTTTTTTAAGACAAACTTGTAACTATAGTATAAACCCGGCTGACATCGACACTTGCGAAAAAATTGTGAATGTTATGGTATATTTTAATAATGCAACTCAAACTTTTAGTCATGTTTATAAACCTACCGCAAACCAATTTTTGTTGAAGCTGTTAATCTCGCCGGCGCTTTTTGTTAATTTTTTGATGCCGCTTACGTTAGTTATTTTTGTGAATTCATGAAACAAAAGTTTTTAAAATATTACTCACATATTCCGCTTATATATGGTATTGCATTTATTCTTGATCCTTGTTATAGACTTGCTTCATTACCAAATTGTATAGATCACTATTATGCTTCTTTTTTTGGTCCAACTCAAGAGTTCGACGATAATCCCATAAACCCTAAACAAGAATTTAACAAGGTTAGTAATTTATTTCATCAATTATATAATGAATTTTATGTACAATATGGTAATACACCCCCTCCCCCGACACGAACATCTTCATCTAAAGGAAAATCACTTTTTGAATCTACATTTGGCAATCTTATGAAAAAAAGTAAATCAACTCCCGTTAATGAACAGAGCTCATATAATGAGCTTTCTATGTATCTAACATTTCCTGTTGATTATGAAGAAGAGGATGACTTTGACGTTCTAAACTGGTGGAAGGAAAAAGAAAGAACGTTCCCGGTCTTATCAAAGATGGCTAAGCAAGTGCTAACAATGCCGATATCAACAGTTGCCGTGGAACAAGAATTTAGTGTGCCCGGCAACGTCTTAACAGATTATAGAACGAAATTGAGCCCAAACTCTCTTGAGACGCTTGTTTACTTCCACGATTGGTTGAAGGCCCAACGTAGAACTCAAGAACTAAGCATCGCCCCCACCCACCACTTTATGGAGGAAACAACCGAAGGCGGAGATTCCGATTGATTATTTATTAGAAAATTTATTTCATTTATTAAATTTTTCTCAAATTCTCAATTCTCAATTGTACTTCTTATTTCAAATTAATATACTTGAACTTTTTTATATCTATCATTTCCTGAATTCGTTGGACATTTAAAAAAAATTAAAATTTAGCCCGGAACCGGCCCGACCCAACCCAACCCGGTAACCGCCGGGTGGCCCGGTCCGACCCGGAACCGCCGCCTACTCGGTCCGGTTCCCCCTTTCCCCAAAAAAAGCCCGGCCGGGTCCAAGCCCCAACCAGAACCGGCCCAACCCGGGTCTACCCCTACTACTCACACGTTCTTTTTATTTATTTTTATTTATAAACCTATTTGATAATACCCAAATCGGCTGCGTTGGTGATTCTGTTGAAATTTATGTAGTTCTAGTTAAAAGAACTGAATTAATTGATCATTTTGATTTATGAAAAGAAATTATATATACAATATATTTTATTAATTAGATAAAGAAAAAATTATATGAAAAAATAATTAAAATAATCCTCTACAGTAACTTCAATTAAAGCAATCAGAAAAGTAACTCCAACTAATTTTTTCTTATTACACAACTCGGTGCTTGAAATCAAAAAATACATGTTTGATAAAAAAAGTTGGTTGATAAGTCCGATAAATTGAAAAACAGAATCACCAAACAAGAAAAAGTGAGACTCCGTCTTTAAACATTACCATGGAGTGCGAGGAGTTTGGCAACTAAACATTTTTGGCTTTTCTGCACATTCACTGATTTCACTCTAGAGTCTAGCCACACTTTCATGATATAATATATGACTTTTCAAAAAATTTGCTTTACAAGCTCAAAATAACTTGACTTCATTAGATGTTGTTACTCGACGGCCCACGGGTTGAAAACCTCTTCACTTTGTAAATAAATCTTAACCATACAAATTCTCTTCTTAACAAAAGACCAAGCATAAGCTTAACACCAACGACAATAATGACATGCTTTGTACAACAAAACTCGTTGCAATCTACCTGGAAGCTACAATAAACGGCATACATGCACATAGCACACAACAACCCCCAGGCCCCAGCACTAAAATTTTACATAAATAAAATGAATGCTTCATACACTGATACACATTCATTTTCTGGTTTTAGCACCAGGTTATGTCACACATATATACATGCTCTAATGACCTGGAGGCTGGAGTACTTCTAGCTTGCATTCACATTATCAGTGAGCTATATAGCCAAGCTCCTTTGCTCTACTTGCAGTTAAATTCTTTGACTGATAAGAGTCTTTGAATAGATCAATCATTGTTGTGTACCACCAGTATCTCTAGATCCCATCTTGGCAAAACGCCCTTTAATTCTTATCCTACTCTCCGCCCGAGCTTTTCTAGACTCATATCTTATCTGCTTCTCATATCTGTTATCATCATATTGATCACAAGTCCCAGCAAAAGTCAAAATCATAAATGGGAAGCATATCCTCTGTGTTAAAAAGTACGTCTCTTTTTCATTTTTCAAGAGGGAATAGTTATTTTTGTTGCCACTTTTCCCTTCTCTTATTTTTGGGTTATTATTATTGAAGGGTAATGTGGTCATTTTACAGACAACTATAAATGTTGAATGAATTCCATAGATATTTAAATATTTTGGCATGATAAGAGTAACTATGAGATAATCACTATCTACACAAAAAGAGAGAAATATAGAGGGCAATGTGCTTACTTCCTTGTCTTCTTCTTTTCCTTGTACCGAGAAATTGCACTTTCCCTATCCCGGATATTTACCTCACGAGGAACAAATTTAGGAAAGGTTTCAATATAGCTAGAATGGTTTGATTCCCCTTCGTTATGATTATTTGCTTCACCTGAATCTTTATTGGGAAGTGACGAGTTGTTCTCATTGAATCCATGTAATGGGGCGAAATCGTCAACGTCATCACACCAATTAAAGCCACTTGACTGCAAGTAGAGGATAGTGTTACAATGATTAAGAAACAAAGATACAAACACACAAACACAAAGATCAATTGAATTAGTTAAACTCGGTGTGTTAAAGAAACCTTTACTTCTGAGTAAGGCATTAATGCAGCCTCCATGTTCTGTTCAAATCTGGAATCAGTCTCTCCAAACAGACGGTTTAGTTCATTTTCCATACTCTGACAGCCTCCACCAGGCTCAGGTTCCTCTTGGTCGGCAGAGAGATCAGGTTCCAGATTAGACATTTTGCGAAGCTGAGAAAGTATTTCTTCTTTGTGTTGTCCACAAGCAGCATTCCTATTCTGCATTCAGTAACAGTATATACACCCCATCACCCCATTTCCCCAATCACTTGAAGATCAACATTTCTTCACAGATTGCTAGTCATTACAAACTTTGAACTTTTAGACCAAAACTTGAAATGATCCTTAACCAAATGTTTCTCATGTTCAAGAGTAGGATATGCAAAACTCGATATCCTATGACTGAAGGAAACATTACAAATATGACCAAGGTATCACGAAAACTTAATAACTTATTTATGAAGAAAAGACTGTAATACTTATAATTATGTTGGGATCAATCAAACTATACTAAAAGCTCAAATCGAATTGATTGGCTAGTCTAACTTAAACCCTTTATAATCTCATCTCCACCTCAGTTAAATATTTTAGAGTGGGACTCTTGACCAAAGAAGGAAAATCATTGGATTAATAGAGCATAAAAGTACTACTCTCATATATCTCTCCTTAATATTCTAAAGTGAAGTTAGTCAAAGAAAAAACTATGAAGTAGCAGACCTTGGGAAGAGGAGGAACACCCATGGCCTGAAAATTAGGGTTAGAATTATTGGGAGCTACTATCAAATCGTCAAGATTGACAACGGCCGGAGTGTCCCAAACAAGATAATCCAAAATCCCATCATCTCCACTTCCGTCATCGCCGACACAACCATAGCCATCCCCATCGTGGAGAAGGGCCTTTTTCCCAACATCTTGGAACCCGAAAACGGCAAGCAGTTCAGTGACGGAAGGACAGCCGGTGAAGCCTTCGAGGGGGCGGCGGACGTGGGCGGGGGAGAGGCTGAGGGAGTGAGATTCCCAGTCGCAGTTCTGGCAGAAGACGGAGGAGTGGGTGCAGCAGAAGATGGTGGCCGGGGAGGAATCGCACGCGTCGCAGAGCAAGGACCGGGTGTGTTTCGCGAAGAGCGGGTTGGTCGAGTGGACCTCCCGGTCGCAGGCAAGGCAGAGGTTGGCCGAATCGGGTCTGCAGTACAGCACCGCCATGGCTGAGCAGCAGAAATCGCAGCGGCGGCTGAGTTTCCCTTCCTGCCCTTCGTTCACGCCAGCCATTTCTGCAGCTTTTGTGTTTCTATGATTTCGACTCTTACAATAATAATAAATGAATTTCTTGAGAAGAGAAAGTAGTGATCATGGAGATTATGTGATCATGAATTGGTGATGCGCTCTGGAAAAGCTAGCTGGTCTCACCTAGAGTGAGTGGAGATGGAGACAAGACAATAAAGGTTAGGGAAATAAATTGGAGAAGCTAATTTATCTACGTTGCCAGAATAAGCACGTCCTTCCTTCCAGGTAGAGAGTTTTTGGAACCCTTTTTGCACATAAAAAAGGTCAAATAAACCCTTATTTAGGAGGCTTTGTCCGGTCGTCGCCATTTGGGCTGATTCCCGGTGGAATTATTTTATGAAATTTTTTGAGCATCTTATTTATCAAGTCTAGTTTACTCATATCAAATTTCAGCTAAAAACTCAATCGGGAAGGCATTCAAATGAATTCTTGAAAATAACTGTGCAGTTAGAAGCGCAATTATCTTCAAGAATTCATTTGAATGCCTTCTCTATTGAGTTTTTAGCTGAAATTTAGTACGAGTAAACTAGACTTGATGAATAAGATGCTCAAAAAATTTCATCAAAAAATTTCACCTGGAACCACCCCAAATGACGACGGCCGGACAGAACCTCCTAAATAAGGACTTATTTGACCTTTTTGGTTAGTACATGGGCCTATTTGCACCTTTTCCCTTTCGTAAATGATTTTGTTTGTTTTTTTCTATTTATTATTTTTCAAATGTCAAATACGCTTTTAGTCCTTCATTTCAAATTTATTACATTTAGTTCACAATTGTGAAATTCATATTTTTAATTATCATAACTACGTATGATTTTATCTTAATATGTAAAAGACTAAAAATTTCAGCATCATAATATTAAGAACATTCATTTTTTATGAATGTCGAATAAATATGGAAAAGTTTCAGAGATAAATATCAAAACGGTATCTTGTATAGTAGTTGAACAGTAGAAAATAACAAAAATTTAATCTCAAGTGTCAAAATTAGATTTTTTGGCCTTAAAACTCTAGGTGTTGGAAGTTTAGATTTTTTTTAAAATTTTGTACTCTCTCCGTCCCAAAAATTTTGGTTCGCCAATTTTGACATTCACGTGAATTAATAAAGTAAAAACTGTCGTGCTTGAAATTTGTGCAGAAGAGAGAGAATTAACTTTAGCCACATATTCCTTACTTTAAATGGAAATGTCAAATCTTTTTGAAACATCCAAAAAAAGGAAATTTGGCAAATCTTTTCGGAATGGAGGAAGTATATGCAATACTGATGTCATACGAAAAATTATAAAAAGTTGTGAATTTTAATATTTTTGTAAAAATTGAAGGACAGATAAAAAAGTTATAGTAGTAATAATTTTCAAAAAGATTTGTTTTACTAGTAACCAAGACTAACACTCTATTCCCCCCTCCTCCTATCTTCATTTTGGGAATCTATTGCCTTACCAAAAAAGCAGAAATCGGTTTTGTTCACCCTCACCCTAGTATATAGTCATGTGGCGGATCAACTCTTTGGTACCCCTTATTTTACAATTATTTTAACTTTTTCAAATTTATGATCCATTTTTTAAATACATATCATTTTTTTACAATTTCATATAATATCAATGTTGCATATAAAATTTGGTGTATTTTTATAAAAAATTGAACCATAAACAAAAAATTACGGAGTATAAGGATTTAAACAATAAAATGTAATACACATGAAGGCAAAGGAAGGAGGGGTGATGGACTGATGGTCACCCACTTTGTAAACTCTTCATATATTCTCCAATATAAGAGCTCGGGAGACCGAAATCTTCATTTATAACTTTTAATTTCGCGCGCTAAATTGTGTAGTAATAAGAAAAAGCAAGGTTATGTGTATGGCTGTATTGGCTGAAGTTACTGTAGAAGATCATTTTAGCTATTTTCATATAATTTTTTATTTATTTTATTAATAAACTATATTTTAAATTTATTTTTTTCATAAATCAATAGAATCAGTCAATGCAGGAACTTCAGTTAGAACTTCATAAATTTTAGCAGAATCAACTGATTTAGATGATTTTGATATTACCAAATGGGCTCTTAGACTATAAATAATTTCACAACCGACATATGAAACAAGATTAGAGTTGTGAGTTGTGACTTGTGAGAGGGTTCAACAGGCCATGTAGGGTTGACTGGTTGGCCGTCTAGAAGCGAATGGTGTTGAAAATATGTTGTGAATGCTACATAGGAAAATATATTTTCTTAAAAAAATATACTTCCTTCATTCTTAAATAAATGCAACAGTCAACATTTCACAATTGCCGAGACATAACTTTGACCATTAATATATACTATCTATAAATTTATATTAGTAAAAAATTAAAAAAATTAGATATTGAAAATTTACAATGAGACAAATTTAACAATATTTTTTAATAAAAATATATTCATACATTAATAAATAAAACATGGTCAAAGTAGACCATGTGAATAGTGTAAAATTTCATATGTTGCATTTATTTAAGAATGGGGCTAGTATTTTCTTTAGACTAAATTGTACTCATAACTTTTACAGTTTTACTATAAAAAAATTGTATTTTTTTTACAGTTTTACTATGTTGTCATTGATAGGTCCAGTGCAACACGAGTAGGGAGTTGTGAAACTAAACAGAGACTATCAAACAATATAATCAAATTATTGAAAAGATTCTTGGTGGTTTAATGCACAATCCACCTAATAATGATAATATCAAAGGTGAAAGTATCTCCCCAACTCCAAGCAGATGAGACAAGAAAGTAGGTGTGGGGTGATCCAAATCTTACCCTTCTCCAGTTCTCCATTATCACATGGTAGGGGCAAAAAGTGACTTTTAAAGCATCAACTTTACATACTCATTTTATTTTGTTTCTTAACTGTGACATGGATCTCATCAGGGACAAGCGTTACCCTACAAATGACTAGGCACTGTTTTTTTGTTTCTTTTTTAATACTTTTTCCGTTCTTTTTTAATGGTAACCGTCCACTTTTCACGTTTGTCAATATAAAATTTTGATCATTAACGTCTTTCTCTTTTTATTAGTGAAAAAATTTAAAGATTCAAATTTTGAAAATTAAAAAATGAGAGGAATTTAAAAATATTTTTTTAAATTTTAAAATATAATACATTAATAAATAAAATGTAGTCAAAGCAGAATATGTGAATATTGTAAAAAACCCAATGTTGCAATTAAAACAGACCGAAGGTAGTATAATTTTATGTTTAAGCTATCCCGTAATGAGAGGGGTGAAAATCTCAAATTTGAAATTTTCATTTCAAAGAAGGTGTAACCCAAGTAAAAAATTGTATAACAGGATGTTATAGTGAATTGGGGAAACCCTAGGGTGAGGAATTAGACCATTTGTAGTGGTGGAGAGGTCAGAATGTTAAAAACGGACTCCGTCCATATGAAAACAGTGTTTAGACTCCTATTTTCCTGCATTCCAGCACCGTCAATAAAATACACTCTGCATATTTTTTACATATCAGTTTAGTAAAACATTAATTAAAAAATTATAAGTAATATTTTCCTTTTAATTTTTTCCCTGGAATAATTATGAAATAAACAATACACATTTTGATGTAAAAATAAATAAATTTCATTAATTTTTTTAACGTTTTTTTATTAACAAAAAATGAACTTAGTTCAAGTAAAGTTCGATTATGGAATATTCAGTTATTTGTGAAGGCTCCATGAATGAAAAATTTGTGTTTCCTGTTTTTTGGCCTAAGAACTCCAACATTAAAATTTTATATTTTTAAAAAAATTATATATGCAATAGTGGTGTCAAATGAAAGATCATAACATTTTATAAATTTTGATATATTTTTTGTAAAATTTGGAATATAATTAAAAAAATTACCTGACTTTAAATGAAAAAGTTTTTTTTTTGTATAAGATGAAGTCATGTTCATTTAAAAGAACAGCACGGTCCATCGGTCACTGCGCACCCTCTCTCTCCCTTTTTCCTTTTTTGGCTCTCAATCCATCTTCTATATTTGAGACTCCCTCCCCCCTCCCCCTCCATTTTAATACCTACGACTAGTCATCAGTGTAAGAAATTAGGAGTCCAAAATTTCCATCTTTAACATTTTGGACTCCTAATACCTAACCACTACAAATGGTCTTAGGAGCATGGATTGACCGAAGTGAGAGAGGGGACGAGCACGCCACAAGTAAGAAAAAGAGTATATCTTTTTATGATTCCAATTTTCTTTAAAATAGTATATTTTTTATTTGTAATCAATTTTTTATAAAAATATATAAAATTCACAATTTTTATAATCTTTCATATGACACTAAATTACATATATAATGTTTTTAAAAAATATGAAGTTTCATCTGATAAAAAATTTTAGGATTAAATTTTTTTCGTAAATAGATCCAAGTGTTAAAATTAATATCTCATGGTTAACATATTTTTTTTACATCTTTCAGTTATTCTTTTAAAAAAAATCTCAAGGAACAATACAAAATATTAAACTCCAAATTTATTTATTTTTTACATTGGAATGGTTGACTTTTTAAATCACAATTATTCGGTAAAAAGGCATTGTCAAAAAATGGATGCATAA